TGCATGTCTGCGCACACACGCGTGCCCTTCACATTGCATGTGCATTATAAGTGGGGGCCATGCTCTGTAGCGGTACCTGTATGCACATGCAGCCTCTGTGTGTGTGTGTGTGTGTGTGTGTGTTTAGGAGCACAAACTGCGGTGAAAGTACAGGTGGGGCAGAGCCTGAGAGCCGCAGAACGTGGTCCATGTCTCCTGAGAAGTGTGATGCCAGTTAACGTTACGGAAACAACTAAGCCTGGGTGATGTCATAGGAAGTCCATTTGGGTTTCTTGAAAAATAAATCATACCCCATGAGAAAAATCTCAGCTCACTCAGCAGTGAACACATTCCCTTCCCTGGGGACCCCTCCCAGAACTGAGAGCCCAGCCACCTGGGAGGGCAGAGGAGGTGCTGCCCAGGGATAGCTTGGCTGCCCCTTTCCTGCCCCTACCAAGTTGACAGGTGGCTCCAGAGAGCTGACTCTGGTGGGTCTTCCTCTCTTGTGACTAGTAATGTGCCTTCGAGGGCCCTATACTGGCCATTTTGTAATCTGTTTGTTGTAGATTACAAAATCTGCAAGGTAGATTGTTGTAGGACCTAGAACAGTGGTTCTCAAGCTGTGGGTCGCAATCCAGAGGAACTGTATTAAAAGGTTGTGGCATTAGGAAGGTTAGGAACCACTGTGACCTAGAACAACTGTCTCCAACTGTGTCTCCTTCTGTGTTAGCCCAGGGGCTAAACTAGTCTTAGTGGGCTAACTCCATCCGCCCCTAGGGCTGGGTTTACCCCAGCCTCTCTTTCTGTCTTCAGTGACTCCCACTGCAAAAAAAAGACCTTGTCTGTGGCTTAAGCAGTTGAAGGTCCCTGTCACTGAATAATTGGAGTGGATGAGGCTGTTTCAGATTTCTTTGTAAGGTGGCCTTGCATCACATTCCTTAATAGGCTTTTCTAAAGGATGGGGCACTTTAATCTCTAACCAGCACATTCCTTTCCTACATCTAGTACTAGGATCAGTAACAGAAAGGAGCCACCTCTCCCCACCAGACACCAATTTCCAGGCCAAGAGGTGCCCTGCTCTCCCCCTGGCCTGTCCCTTTGGTAATGCCAGGAAAGAGAGAGATGAAAAATAAAACTCCCTCTGCACCCACCTGAAGCTGACTCTGTGTCTTCAGCTGTCTCACGCCGCAAATCTTTGTCCATGAGACAAAGAGGCAGATGTTCCCTGAGCCGGGCGATCAAGCCCCTGCATTTCATTTTAATGATATTATGCTCACTTTTAATCTTGGGAGAGTGAATAAGTCTTTCTCATCTGCTAAGTCTTGGGTAATATGTAGCTCTGTTTTTAAGCATAGTCCAGATACACAGAACCTAAAGGAGAAAACTAGAGTATCTGCCCGTGTTCAGTCCCTGCTGAGTTAAGGGAAGGGCTGGGTCATCCTTAAGAGTGTGTGTGGGTGGGTGAGAGGTGTGAAAGCGTGTCCTTGAGATGTCACTCTCAACCCTAACGTGGGGTAACAACAGCTACAAAAGCTTTTCAGCTGTAAGTAGAACACAGTCCCTGGTGCCTACTTTCTAGATGAGCTGCTGGGGAAAAAAAAAAAAATTAGAGTCTCTGCCAGTGGGAATGTTCCCAGAAATTCAGATCCTCGAAGCAAAATAGGCACGTAAGTGAAGGTTTGTGTCTGATAGAATATTTGATGGGAAATTCGGTGTTTTTGAATTTGCCAAAAAAATAAGTCATTCCTTATAAGCTCAACTGCTTGGCCTGGCAGCTCTTGGGATTCTTAGGGTGATACCCATTTTGAAAACACTAATCAGACCTTCCCCAGCACCTACAGAAATCCTTGATGATTCTCTTACCCCCTTTCTTCTTCGGCAAGGCCAAGATTCATGTCTGCCTCACTGTACTTACTGTCTTCCTAGAATAGTCGCATTTGGCACTGATTAGGGACATGTATCTTGACAGCCCTTCCATCCTCCTACCTTACTGATCAGACCGTACCCTTTTCCAGCAGGGTGCTCCTAATCTAGGGCAGCCAGGCCTGCCAGCTTCGGGAAGCAATGCCCGTGTCCTGTTATGGAGAGAAGGTTACGTTTGTGTAAGCAAATAGGCCCCAGCTCACTGCTGGCTCTGGAAACCCTGCCCAGCAGCTCATGTTTTCTTTTCTGCATCCCATTTCACCGTCCAGTGTCCTTCTGTCTTCTAGACTGTTCCAAGGTATGGCACAAACACCATCAAAGTTCCATGTCCATGTCCAGTGTTACGCAACTCTCTGTATTACTGAAACACAAGCCAACATCATTCAGCACAGGCCACAACGTCGCGTTATTCTCCCCAATACCTTTCTCACTTGGTCTACTTGGGTTTAATCAGTGCTCTATTACCCTTGCTAAAGGAAGGTAAGTAACACAACCCAAATGATCAGGGGTCCTAAAATCTGTGGGGTGCGTTACTTTTTATACCCTTCCAGCACTCAACAGATTTATCTTTATAATGAAATGTTGAGTAAAGGCTAAGATTGTATTTTTCAATTAAAATTGCATTAACCTTTAAATTCAAATGTTCATTCCTCTTTTTTTTTTTTTTTTTGCATCAGAGAAAACAACCAGAGAGCATCATCCTTGAAATAGATATTTCAAAAAGTAGAGACTACTTTTCAATATGGTAGAAACCTAACTGCTTATTTGGATGGAATTATAACATCAATTTTAAAGGCTCAGTCTTTTAGCCTTAGAATGATTTTCCTGCTAATGAGTACCCACCCCTGGGTACAAATTTCATTTTGTGGTGGTAGATGGCTGGTTTTTTTCTTTTTGAAACAGTGTCTCACTCTGTTGCCCTGGGTAGAGTACAGTGGTGTCATAGCTCACAGCAACCTCAAACTCTTATGTTCAAGAGATCCTCTTGCCTCAGCCTCCCGAGTACCTGGGACTACAGTTGCCTGTCACAAGGCCCGGCTAGTTTTTTTTTACTAGAGATGGGGTTTCACTCTTGCTCAGCCTGGTCTTGAACTCTTGAGCTCAAGGAACCTACCCACCTCATACTCCCAGAGTGCTAGGATTACAGGCATGAGCCACTATGCCCAGCCAGCAGATAGCTACTTTGGACCCCAGCCTCCTTGGGGCAGTTTCTCTGATCACAAAGGGATAGGTGCTGTAGAATTAGTCTAACCTGCCTTGAAATTATTTCGAACAATCCTTACTATCCTTGAGTCATTTCCTCAAGTGTCAACATTTATTAGGTATTGTCTCAAAGACCCTGCAACATCTCATATTATAGTGATCATAAAGTTGCATCTAAATTATTTCCTTCCAAGTCTTTGCTTGCTTTTATTTTAGTTTAGTTTTTAAAAACGAAGTCATTCTCTATCCGATGCAGCTGCTGGGCAGCCCTGAGCCGACTCTGCCTTTAGTAATGGTGCAAGCCTTTCCTATGTGCATTTTGGGGGAACAGCTTTTCCTACAGTCTTGTTTGATAATTTGTACCTCTTTTTATGTTTGCATGGATTTATTTATCTCTCCCAAATCTTACTGAACATATTTTTCTGAGCCACAGTAAGTACTTTCGAGAATGATGTGGTGTGAATTACGTAGAATAAAGGTACCACGTAGCAGTGAGAGCCACAGGTGGAACACTTAGTCATCTGTTTGTCATACAGCCCCTGCGTAGGGAGCCAGAGGAGGAAGCTCATTTTTAAAATATGGTAAAATCCATACGTGAGACACTGAGAGACATAAAAGCCAGAGGCGGTGGCATCCTTACAAACACCAGGGTTCGTATTTCTTCATATTCTGGAAACTGTGATCAGTCAATGAAATGAGCATTGTCTCTTATTGCTTGTACATGGCAGTTTAGGGGACAAAAAAAAATGCCACTTTATGATGTGAAGTGCTTATCTACAACAGTCTTTGAGAAATAGCTCAGAGTCAGTGGCATTAAAGATATGACACTCAATATGGACACAGTCAGCAAGGATGGTGGCACAGTGATTCCTGTGAGGAGTATTAGCTCCTTCTAATACTCCCCCCCGTGCATATTCCTTGTCTGGTGCTTATGTTTTATGAGCCGTGTCCGTGGCCTTCGTGTTCATTCTTATGTTCTCAATGCCCAGCCTTGTATAAACCCCTCCTCCTCGGAGGAGCCGTGGAATTATGCGTCCTTTGTTTTTCATTAGGAAGCTATGTGTGACGTTAAAAAAAAAGCAAGAATCTCATGGTTTCTCCCAAAGGTGTAATTTTGTTTCGCCCATTCATTTTATTTCCATGGTGGGGAGAGTAAAATTGTTTCCCCATGAGAGTCATAGTCCATTTTTGGCCTTTCCTTTTTCTCGTGATTTCCCCCCATAGTCCCCCCCTAAGAAAAATGAAACCACTACAAGAAGAAAAAGAATGTATCTTCTAACAAAGCCGGCTTTATCTCGATAAATACAGGGATCAGTGACCGACGAACACAACCCCTTAAGTCCTTTTGGGCAAATTGAATAATTCTTTGATTATATCTGAGAAGTGGAAACACGGGGAATTTATGTTCTGGGCTTTCCACTATCTTCTCCCTTCTTACTTTGACCTAAATTGCCTGAAGTTAATGATGCAGATACCCAGGGGCAGAGGCAAGTTCTGTAAGACTAGAAGCTTGTACAAGCTAGGGAGCCATCTTTAGGAAAGAGAATACAAAAATGTCTTACTTTTACAATTTTTTTACAAAAACACATGACCATGTGAATGTATGCCCGAGTTCCCCCTGGGCCTCGGTAAGGCCCATGCAAGAGTCCCGAAGCTTTAATTTTATTGACCTCACAGCAAGTCCATTTCTGTGGGTCCTGTGTTAGGGTAAACATCCACCCGCACTATTCACACTTGAATTTGCTACTTGTGTGCGCAAACACAGGAATGTAAGTTAAGACTGTACAGAGACTAAACAGGAGCATACAGATATAAATATAAGAACACAAGATTACACATTAGGTTTTAAACACAAAGGACACAGAAATACTTTTCTATGTCTGTTGAGCATCAGAGTTTCTAAAGATCATGCCCAGGCACAGTCCCCTCTTCTCCAGACTTTGAATCGTCTGCCTGCATTTAAATGCTCACTTTAAGCAAGAGGGTTAGTATATTATCATTCAGTCAGGCAAGCCGCCTCAAACACAGTTCTCTGAATGGGACTCATGCTGAGCAATCCCTATTCTAGAAGCCAGGAGTGACAGGTGGGAGGAAGGAAGGAGGCTTGGTAAGGGTGGCGCAGGGTGCAGGGGGAGCCCATCACCAGTAGGGGGAGCTTGACTGGTTTTTCATTTTGCCCCAGGGCAGTTCAGATACTGGTTTGGAGATCTCCATTGAGGAGGGTCCTCTGGGTCTCCGTGGTCTCATTCAGCCGGGATTTGTCCTGCTTACTGTCACTCCGTTCCCCATCCTCTGTGCCGCTTACTTTGACCAAGCAGAGGACGTTCTGGAAACTCTTCTTGAAGTTGTCAGACAAGAAGGCATACAGGATAGGGTTGGCACAGCTGTTGGCATAGGTGAGAACCACCACAAAGTCAAACATGCCTTTCAGGGCTGGGGTAGGGTTGATGGCCACAGAGACAGAGGACACGTTGAATATGTAGAAGGGCAGCCAGCAGAAAATGAAGACAGCCACCACGATGGACACCATGCGGGTGACCTTTTTCTCAGACTTTTTCCTCTTGGAGGACCCCACTCGGATTCCAGAGGACTTCACCTTGATGATAATGAACAGGTAGCAAAGACAAATGATGGTGAGGGGTACCAAGAACCCCAGGATGAACGCATAAATAATGAACCCTGTGTACCACGCCCCAGATTCACCTGGCCAGTTGATAGTGCAGCTGCTCCTCCCCCACTGGTTGCTCCGAAGCCCAGCATATATCATGATTGGCAAGATGACCAACAGAGAGACTCCCCACACAGCCACATTGACCATCTTGGCCGTCCGGGGTCTCCTCCACTTGGCTGACTTGATGGGGTGAACCACAGCCAGGTAGCGGTCAATGCTCATGACCGTCAAGCAGAAGATGCTGGTGAACTGATTGATGCCATCCACAGTCATGACCACCCGGCAGATGGCCTTGCCAAAGGGCCAGTGGACCAGAGCCACCTGCATAGCCAAGAAGGGCAGACCCAGCATAAAGAGCTCATCTGCGATGGCCAGGTTGAGGATGTAAATGTTGGTGATGGTCTTCATCTTGGCATAGCGGAGGATGACGTAAATGACAAGCGTGTTGCCGCACAGCCCAACAATGCAGACCACAAAATATATGAAGGTGAGGACTGCATTGCTCGTCAGGTCGTAGTAGGGCTCTGTCTGGTTTGAGCTGTTGGCTGCTGCCACCGAGCCATTGAAGTCCAGGGCGGAGGACAGCCACGTGTGGCTTCCATTGAGTAGCTCATCCGCCACATCCATGACTGCTCTTTGGTCTTAGGCTAGTTCCAACCAGCCCAGAGATCTTAATCTCATTTTAACGGTCCCTGGAGGCCAAGGGTCCACTGTGACATCTGGAAGGAAGAAAGAAAGATTGGCCCATCAGTCACAGGCTACTGAGGGGGCTCACCAGTTCTCCACATTCTGGTTTACCCTCTCAGACGTATTCTTAAATTGAAAAATGCAGCATTTCCCCACATCAGTGTTAAGCTCTAAAGTTCCTCAATAGAGTGCAGACTTTTTGAGTTATTTTTCCAATAGCTCAAAGGGTCTGGGGTTAAGACATCATCTTTGATGACGCACATGTAGGAGATGACTGTGGCTTCAAAGGAAACATACTTTGACCTCTAAGAAGTTGACTGATCTAGATTGTAAAAAGGCAGAGCTTGAAGTCTCTGCCCCTGACCTCAGAGGGGTCTGACACTGGTATTCCCTGTCTCTTCCCTGTGAGGAAATCTGAGCCGACTTGCAGACTGCCTTGGAGTTTTTCCATTCTGAAAACCCCATAATGGAAAAACCCCAGACTTCAGAGGTAGAACAAACCCAGGCGCCACAGTTGAGCCCATGGGACCGTGTGCCTGGTCCTTAATGGCTCTGACTCTCGTTTTTTTAAATGGAGGTGTCATGATGGTTAAATGATGGAAGGTATGTGGAAACACCTAGCACTCTGTTGGGCTCGTAAATGGAACCTTGTATTATTTTGTCCCCATTTCTTCCTCCCTCATGTCATTATGTCTAATTTGCTGAAATCTGCCTACATAGTGAATCAATTGATAATCTTCAATATTAAAAAGTCTGGCTTGATTTCATTTATTTTTTTCCCTTTTTGTTTTCTGATACTCAGTGCTTGAGCATCCATACCAGGAGAGTCTTGTCCCCAAATCCCTGAATGGGATTTTGTTCCCAAGTGCTTCTAACACCTCAGAGAGTTTGCCTGCCACTCCCTAATTAAGGACAAAACCGGGAATCAGTTGTGGGAAGCAATCTCATTCATAGAGGTGAACAGAGAATTCCCACCACTGATACGTTCATTCATACCCACTATTCTCTTTGGTCATCTCAATCATCTTGAGGTAGGGAAAATGGTCCCCATTTTAGAGATGTGGAAACTGAGGCTTAGAGAGTTTAAGAACCTCCCATTCCCTCATGCATAATGGGTGGAGCCAGGATGTGAATGCAGGCCACCTAGCCCTGAGTCTTCTGCACATCTTACCCCATCACTTCTGCCACTCAGTGGCCTGGAAACCTAGCAGCTGATTTACTGGGCTTTGGTTTGAAGCAACTGACTCCTGTGTTACCTCTACGCTGAGAAATAATTTTTAACATTATTGGTTTGGCTTAAGATCTAAAACAATAGCTCATCACATAATCAAGTGATTTCTTTTTAGCTGTCTAAAAAAACATCATGGGCCAAGGAGGTTTCTTTGTGCTAGGCAGCAGGGATCCAGGAATGAACAAGACATGGCTGGTGCCCTGTAGGAGGTAAGAATTGAGGAGGGGAGACAGGCAAGGAAGCCAACTCATCTGTGGTGCAGACTGCACTGAGATACGAACAGAGGACTTAGGAATGCTTTCCTTTCCTGGGGGGAGATTCAGAGGAGGCTTCAAAAGAGGACTTTTTAAGCTGGGTTCTGGGTATATGAAAAGTGAAGCAAGAGCCAGGCAAAGAGGTCAGTCCTGGAAGACAGGCGGTGGCTGAGGGGTGGCGTGTGCAGCAGAGTGGGAATCATTCATGTGGCTGGCACGTTTTCCCTGAGCAGGGTCCCTTCCCTGGTTCCTGGGTGTAGATGAAAGATGACTCCTTAATGCTTGGAGAGACTACAGGCAAATTGAAGGAGCCTTAGCCAGCAACAAGCACTTGAGGACCTTTGCCCACCTTCACCTCTGGTCCATACTGTACTGCCGGGCGCTTGGCTTTTCCTTTATGTGCTAATTCCCCACCCCACCCCCAACAACTGTCTATAAAGTGAGGTCCAGGCTGTGTGGGTGACCATTTTTCTTGACGTATTTTGGGGCCCTGGAGTTTCATGTCCACCAAGGATAACAAAGCATAAACTGGCAGCTGTTAACACCAGAAGCTGTACAGAATCCATTTTTAGTGTATCCTTGGATTAACTTGGATCATTTCCACTATCATTTCTTTTCTTTTCTTTTCTTTTTTTTTTTTTTTTGAGACAGAGCCTCAAGCTGTCACCCTGGGTAGAGTGCGGTGGCATCACAGCTCACAGCAACCTCCAACTCCTGGGCTCAAGCCATTCTCCTGCCTCTGCCTCCCAAGTAGCTGGGACTATAGGCGCCCGCCACAATGCCCAGCTATTTTTTGGCTGCAGCTGTCGTTGTTGTTTCGCGGGCCTGGGCTGGATTCAAACCCGTCAGCTCAGGTGTCTATGGCTGGCACCTTCACTGATTGAGTCACAGGCACCGAGCCTCCACTATCATTTCTAACCGTCTTGTCAGGTGCTTTAGTTCTACAGATGTAGAATCCTATTCAAGTCGCCTGCAACTGGAGTTGACATTAATCATTTCTAGGGATTGACTGATCCCATATATGTAACATGAATAGTCACACTCCAGGATCTGGGTAGGACTGAGGCCCCAGGGGTGCAGAAGCCCTGTCTAGAGCTTTGGGGCTGGAGACCAGGGGATGCAGGGGTGAGGAGGGAGTGGTGACTGTTCTCTCCAGCCCTAACTTTGCCATTTTCCCCAGAGTCTCACTGGCTGGCATAGAATTGCTTAGGACTCAGCAATAGACACATCAGGGCCTTGGTGATGCTGGGTGGGGGTGGGGCAGGTGGTGAATGGCAGCCAGTCTTGAGTGGGGAAGGCTCCTTGAAGGATGAGGAGCTTATATCATGCAGAGGTTTGTTTAAGAAAGAAGTCAGCTACCTTAGTTCTCCAAGAGACTTCTGCTTCATTTTTGTCTCAGAGTAAGTGAATTCCAGTCCCAGGCAGTCAATACTACTTGTTTAATTGTGGTTAACTTGAATATTGGATTGTGGTTAAATTAACTGTGCAAGGAAGTTTGAATTTCTGCAATCCTTATTTTTCAAGCCCAAGAATTGTTAGATACTGGAAATGGCTGGGGGTTGGTTTCCTACCAGAGGGGTGCAGGCTGTGCTGGAGAGAAGGGTGAGGAGGGTCTGCACTTTCTCCCCCTCCCCTGAGGGGCTGCGGCTACCAGCCGAAGAAATGCGAGTTGGGATGAGGACCACGCATCAGGAGGGGCCCTGAATCCTGCTCCGTTCCCTTTTCTCCCGTCTTCCCAGTATCTTTCCCGGGTTCAGTTCCCAGTCCTGCCTCCCTCGGGGCCTGCTGACACCCTGCTTGGTCTTTGGACTGCTAGACCCGTGAGCCCTCTCTGGCAGGGTGATGAAGGGCTTGCGCGGGCCTCCGCTGCGGCGCTGGAGCGTCTGGGAGAGGCCACAGGCGGCGCCGGCCTAAGAGGATGCGGGTAAAGCGGGGCGAGTCTCAGGACCGCCAACTCGGTGCTCCCGGCTGGCACAGAACGTCCTCCGCCTGGCCATCCAACTCGCGGATCATCAGAGCTAGAGTTTCCCCAAGGATTCCATGCCCTGTTCAGGAAGACGAGGGGAGACTGAAGCCCGTAGCGCCAGCATGCCCAGTCTCTGAAGGCACAGGGAGGGGCAGAGGCGCTGGGGACAGCTGGGAGCGGACCACAGTCACTTGGGGACTTGGCTGGCGACTCTGGGCACAGGCTATTCAGTGGTTCGGTCTCTCCAAACCTAGACAAACTGTCCTCTCTACCCGGGGTCGAAGGGTTAGTGGGGAGGACCCTAGACTGTTCGAGACTCCCGGGGGGAGAAGCCCCACTTTCTCCCCCGCTCCTGCCAGCCGCGAGCTCGGATCTCCTGGAGCGGTTACGCAGAAGCCCCGGGGCATCTACCACATCTCCCCTGCCCTCCTCCCTCTCCTCTCCCCGGGTCTTTTTTGCAGGCGGCTGGGAGAGAAGTTGTCTCCGTCTCAGCTACCACCTGGACACTCTGGTTTAAAAGCGCACGCCACCCACAAGGCGTGAGTCTGTGCAGACACGTCGGTTCCAATACACTACAGCGGCCCCCGACTCACTCTGACACATCAGCTGTCATTCATTTCTACTACAGTCACCCCCTGAAAGGCTCAAGGACCGAGAAGCATGCACCGGGACGTACACCCGGGCACACCGATGGGCGCGCCACCGTCAGCGCAGTTGCACACAGGTGCGCTTCTCTCTCCCTCCATCCGTCTGCCGCTGTGACTATCGGTCACACAAAAGCACGCACACACACACCCCTCACCTTAGCTTTTCCGCTGCAATCTGCCAGCCCTGCTCGCCGGCACCCAGCAGCTGTCACCGACCCAGATGGGCGCTGGGGCGCGCAGCAGCAGTTTGGCTGTCGCCTAGTGCTGGGCGTTCAGGGCTCCCGGTTCCTCCGCCCGGTTTTGCCGGCTGCTGCCAGCCCCTCGCCCACACAGCCCCGGCGCCGAACCACCAGATAGGGACTCTGGGCGCCGGTGGCCTCGCGAACGTGTGCGCGCAGGTGGCTGCGCTGCTTGGACTGGCCTAGCCCCGCCCGGGCCCCTCCGCACATTCCCCACGCCCCCCTCCAGTTACGTCATCGCAGCTCCGCTCAGCCAGCCGGGTCCTGCGGGAAGACCTGGGTGAGAAGGTTGGAGAATCCTGCCGGTGGCTACCGGCGGGGCTCTAAGGTCCTTGGGGGAGAAAGCGGACCCGCATGCGGGGGCGTGAAAGTTTTAAGCCATTTTGGTCGCCCCAAGACTCAAGGCAAGGACGCGCACTGCTTTCCTCCGATTTCACAGAATCGATTTCATTTCACCCAGCATATTCCAGGTAGCTGGAGTGGCGGCTTGGGTGATCCACACTTGCTCCGGGACCTGTGCGATTTCTTAGCCAGACAAGTTTGCAAAGCTGTGTTTATCCAGAGCCAGCCCCGGGCGCAGGGCCAGGGTAAGGATAGGGAGAAAAAGGGCTTACGGGGACAGCAGTTCTCCATGCCAAAGCCTGCATGATGTACAATCACGCAGCTGGGTCCCAACATTCAGTTCAAAGAGCCATCAGAGGCTCAGTG